TTACGGTTGTCACTTGTCATTAAATACTGATGAGTTTCTAGATTTACTTGATCTGCTTGTTTGTTATAATCTTATGAAATTGATGTTGTTGCATTTGATTTATGATATGACCAACTGGGTCGAAAAATTAACCTGTTAGCTTGAATAGCATCTTGTTTTTATTTGATATCAACTATTGCACATGCACTGAATGCTGGTAATGGTTTGTTACCTGATATATAGGCAACTTTGGTGAAGTTGTTCATGTTGAGCTTGCGATGGACAGAGCTGTAAGTTCTTAAGACTTGCTCAGCAAATTTTCCAGTTTTAATTCTAGTGTTCCACTCATATTTCTTTCCGCTATTAAAACAGGTTAATCTTCCAAAAGGATATGCATATGTTGAGTTCAAGGCAAGAGCTGATGCTGAAAAGGCACAACTCTACATGGATGGTGTATGTCACTCTTTTACATATTTTAATCAAATCTGATTCTACTTAAGAATCCAGCTCAGATGTCTTTTTTTCCTAAAGCATGTTGTTTGTTTAATGCAGGCTCAAATCGATGGAAATACTGTTAAAGCTAAGTTCACGCTACCCCCGCGCCAGAAAGTATCTCCTCCCCCTAAACCTGTTTCCAGTGTATCAAAGATAGATGCTCCGAGATCTGATAACGCTGGCGCTGACAATGAGAAAGATGGGCCTAAGCGCTCAAGGGAAGGTATGCTAGTGTTTTAGTGATTTTGTTTACTTGCTTTCCTGTTAATGCTACACATTATGTTGTGTGAACTGTTTTCTTTAATATACATTCAGCTTCTCCACCACGGAAACCTCTTTCTTCCCCAAGAAGGCGATCGCCTGTGCCTAGGAGGGGCGGTTCTCCTCCTCGGCGAAGACTGGAGTCTCCTATTCGTCGTCGAGGTGATACACCGCCTAGGCGTAGGCCAGCATCCCCATCTAGAGGTCGTTCTCCAACTTCTCCTCCAAGGCGTTATAGGTCTCCTCCCAGGTTAGCTATGGCTCATTAATTTCCCTGCCTGGTGTTTGTAACAAATTCAGAATTACTAATGCACCTTTGATCTATCAGTAGGGGCTCCCCCCGAAGGATACGTGGCAGTCCTGTGCGAAGGCGTTCTCCTCTTCCTCCAAGGCGCAGGTAAAGCCATGATAAGGCTTAGTAACTCGAGGATGGTGATTCACAACTTTATAGCCTGCTGATCTCAAGAGAGGCAATTTCACCGACGAAGAAGACGAACTCATCATCAAGTTGCATAGCATGTTCGGTAACAAGCTCTCTCTCTCTCTCTCTCTCTCTCTCTCAACTCGATGCTTTAGTGTCGTAAAATCAATTGTGTCTGTTTATTTCTGTTCTGCCACTGTATTAGTGTTGATCTCTGGGTTACGTCTGCAATGCATGTATACAGGTCACCTCCTAGGCGAGCCCGCAGTCCCCCTAGAAGATCTCCAATTCGAAGGCGTAGCCGATCGCCAATTCGTAGACCTGCTCGTTCTCGATCGAGGTCAATCTCACCACCCCGGAGGTATGTCTTTGCATGCTCTTCACCTTTAGTTAGTCCAAAGTTTTATGATTAGTTTGGATTGTTGGTGCTCAATTTGAGACTCCTAATATATAAGCCTCACATCTTTCAAGGATATATGCCTAAAGACATGCTATTTCTCTTATCTACCGGATGCATACACGACTTGAGTGATCCTGGATGTTGTCCAATTTTGTAGATGTCTATTGTTTCTTTTCTAGATTTGCGGTGTATCCATAGAAATTTGGGTTTTCGCTTGAAAATAGGGGGGGCCGAGGTCCAGCTGGGAGACGTGGGAGGTCATCTTCATACTCTAGTTCGCCAAGTCCCCGCAAGGTGTATCACAATTTCCTTTTTGCTCTACAATAATTTGATGATCTCTTTTAATTATATATAGGTTTTGACATTATAGATTGTTTGCATCGAAACTTTCAGGCACCACCCAGGAGGGTATCAAGGAGCCGCAGTCCTAGGAGGTAAAACTTGTTCTGTTCTGTCCCAAGTGGAACTTCACTTTCTTTTTTGATTCGTACATATTATGCACGTACAGTGTATGCATCAGGGGTCAACACGTATATAGATCAATTTCTAGGAAGATGTTTGCCCGTGCTAAAGTGAAGTGTGAGGATCTGGATTTTGGTTTAGATAGATTCAATTACAGAGGCTGAAGCCCCCTATATATATATCCGGTTTATCTTTTTGATCGGTTTGATAGAACATGAAAACCGACGAGGCGAGCGGAGAGACTCGCAGGGCCTCAAATCTTGATTTTTAACCATTTAGATGTCTTAGGTTGGAAACCCTGATCAGGTTAAATGATGTATTGTGATATACAGGCCCTTGAGAGGAGGAAGGGGGAGAAGAAGCAGCAGCAGCAACAGTAGCAGCAGCCGTTCGCCTCCTCGCAAACCCTAGTTCTTTTTTCTGATTTATAAAAAAAAAACCATTGTGTTCCATGTGACCGGACAGATTGAGAGGAGGCGTGGATATGGTAATTTTGTTATGTTTGGTTTGGTCGTATAATACATTGGAGAATGTATTAGGGAAAAAAAAAAGAACACCTTTTGTAAGTGTGAATTTAGACATTTGTATTCTTTTTTTTTTCTTTTTTTTGGTAGTTTTCCTACCAAGTATGGGATGGTAACGTTGTTATGTTTGGATTCCTATGTTTGGTTTGTTTGGTATTAAATCTCTTCAACCCAATCCGCAAAAAAAAAAAGGAATTAAGACAGGAAAAATTGAAAATGATATGATATTTTTGTGATTCTATCGAATTTTCTAAGAAAATCCATTTAATCAAAGAGTAAAATGACAAACAACCAAACGTTTGATGATCCATAAATATATTTTGGAGATCTCAGCCGTACGGCAAAGGAAAGGTATTTTTGCAGATTGCGAGAAATAGTGATGGCCCAACCGACACACCTTTGTCTTGGGGCCTATCGGTTCTTCATTAAATATGGAGCCTGCTGCTCGTCTAGTCAATGAATGCATTTTTTGTTTTATATATACATATGATGGAAGAGGCATCTTTTATTCTAAAATATCATACTGGATTTGGAAGAATCAATATAAAGAATTTTGAAAATTAATGTGTTATTTTCAAAAGAAGAGAAATATAGTCTTTATACAAAATTTTACCGAATCAATCCAACTATATATATATATATATATATATATATAACACATTCAAAAGTGGGAATACTATCTTTGCCCAAATGCGGTGCTTTAGAGGAAAGATGAAGAAACTTAGGCGAAGGTACCTTAAGATTCTTGCAATGGATTTCAAGTGTTGAAGCCGCATGAATAACCACCAATACCAACTTTAAGTTTAATCAAATTATATTTTTTTAAAGTAATGATATTTTTTTTAAAAGAAAAAAAAAGATACCCCACACCAAATTCAAGGTGTAATGTCATCATGACCCTTCACACAAAGGGAAATCACAAATCACACACATTTCACATACATCAAACAAACATAGGTTTATGTACCGTCTACTTAACATATAGTCGGTCGCATATCTATTCAATATCTTGAATTAATTAACCATTTCAGTGTCCGAAATAATCTAAACCCAATTGACAGGTAACTGATTTTATATCAGAAAATATTTTTTTATGATGATAAATATAAATATATATATATATATATATATATATTTATTATTCATGATCCTAGTGGGGGCATATCATTTAAGTCCATGGTCCTCCACCACTTTTGAAATTCACCTTTTCTTTTCTTGTGGGAAAGAAAACAATAATAAAGAATTAAAATGGAAAGATAGAAGGAAAAAAAATGGACCATAATATGAAGATTGGAATTAATTCCTTTTTGTAATACTTTATATGATTCTATCTAATTGTATTTTTCATAGGAACATGTCTCCATCCATCTCTCCTCCCTTTACTTCATAGTTCGGTTTTCCCGTGTATCTCTCTTTTGGAGATGTTGGCATATGAGTTTATAACTTTAGATTCCGTAATACAAAAAATATAGATTACAATAAAATATATGGATTTGATTTTTTCAAAAAATATATTTATTCAATTTCATATCAGAATTTAGTTAAATTTATATTATTTTTTTTGTTTGACTCTAATTTTAAAAATGGACTGTTTTCTCTTATATGCGACATAATTATCGACTTATTAGGGAAAAAATTTCCAAACAAAGCCCAGCAGAAGCAGCAATGATGCTTTACCACGTGGCATCAAATGAAGCCAAAACCGTACAATTTTTTTAAAAAAATCAAGGAATTTTTTTAAATTTTAAAAACCGCTAATATTTTACAAATAACGAAGATACCGATATGTGGGTCCCACTATCCGGTTGCCATGCTGGCTTTCCACGTGGATGCCACACATGACTGGAAGAATCCGACCCAGCGTCACACGTGTCGCGTAATCACCGCATCCCAATTACTATTTCCAACTTATCTCCAAATTATATTCCGGAAATACCCCTCGGGGGCCACTAAAATCACGGGCCTGTCCTCTAGTTTTAGGGGTTAATAATTTGCTGCATGGAAAAAAACAAATTTACTTTATAGGAAAAATAAATGTCAAAACTGAATCCGAGCGTTACCAGTTATGGACCAAAATAAATGAGGGAAGCAAATCAGATTCTTCGGCTGTATTTGTTACAAATTTTATTACACATTTCAGCCAAAAACAAAAAGATCATATCTTTACATGTTTGGTTTAGATTTTTATTTAATTTAGTGTTAAGGAAAATCCCCCAATACAAATGGATCAGCACAAAGTCTAAAGTTTCACCCTTTTTGCAATGCATAAGCAAAGATGGTTAATTTACATGATTTGGGACATAATTTTTCTGTCTTGTAGATTTTATTTAATTAAAAAATAATTGAATTTTGTTTTTGACTTTTTTAAAGATTGTGGCTTTAGAGTATTCTCTCTCCGTCGCTCGCATATAAATAGGAATCTAACCACTTGATTTATGTTCGTTTTGATTTGCCCCTTTAAATCCTCTTCACGCACGTCGAAGCAAAACCGAAACGCATGCACACCTAACATCTGTATATATATACATACATACACACACACATATATATATATATATACTCTCACATCTCTCCCACCATTTCGATTCCCATTCTCGTCTTCTTTCTTCTCCGGGACTCCTACCATGGCCGTCGAAGCTCGTCGTCTCCCTCTCTCCTCTCCTCAACACTTGTTCAACCGGTTCCTCTCTCTCTCTCTCTCTCTCTCTTTCTGTTTTCTCCCATGATTTGATTTGCTCTTCGCCGTTTCCATGGAATCTGCCGAAATTTTCTGGGGATTCAGTGCGTTTCGTGTATTGGATTTTCGGTGATCTGAACTGGGTTTTGCTTTTTTTTTTTTCTGTTGCAGAGAACTGATGGTGAACGCCGCCGTGGAACGCACCGGCGGTTTCTGCGTCAACCAGACGACGTATAGCGTCGCGCCGCCGCTTACGTCGGCTGCTACGCCTCTTCATCTGTACGGATCCGGCGATACGGCCGCCCTCCCCACCACGGCGGACCCGTTTACTCCTCATCTCATAAAGTCCTTCGACGTTTCGTCTTTCGCGTACTGTGACGGCATCGATAATAACAACAATGGCAGCAGCACTATCAACCGCGGTTTCGTCCCGTCACCGTCAAGAAAACGGTCGAGAGATTCTATGGCGAATTACCCCATTCTTCATCATCAGAACTCAAGATTGTGTGCTCCTTCGTCGTTTCTGGGCCAATACATGTCGCAGATTCATCAGCAGCAGCTCGAAATCGATCGCTTGATCGCCCTTCACGTAAGCGATCGATATCATCATCGTGCATTGAATGGGTCTCTTTACTGTTATTCGAGTAAATACGCACGAACGAACGAGTTTGTAGCAGTGTTCATCAATGGCTGCTACACCAGAATCACTCGCTATTCACGAGATTGCCATTAAGGTTACGTGCTCATTTGACAACGAGCACTGATGTGTTGATAATTTTAAAAACTTGTCAGATGGAGAGAGTGAAGATGGAGATGGAGGAGAAGAGGAACAGGCAAGTGAGAGCGATAATGGAGGCGATAGAAGAACGGGTGATGAAGAGACTGAGAGCGAAAGAGGAAGAGAAGGAGAAGATAGGGACGCTGAACATGGCGCTCGAAGAACGGTTCAAGTCGCTCGCCGTCGAGAACCAGTTATGGCGTGACCTCGCTCACACCAACCAAGCCACGGCTCAAGCCCTCCGCACCAACCTCGACCTCGTCCTGGCGCAGGCTAAGGACCTGCGCATACCCACCGGCGCACCTCAAGACTTAGCCTACCCTGACGACGCTCAGTCTTGCTGTGGGGACTCGGAGTGGCGCGCGTTACCGGGGGATGCGCAGGATAAGGGGAGGATGTGCAGGAGCTGCGGGGAGGAGGAATCGTGTGTGTTGCTGTTACCGTGCAGACACCTGTGCCTATGTGGGGCTTGTGGGGCCAATCTGCACACGTGTCCTATTTGTAGATCCCCTAAGAACGCTACTGTTCATGTCAACATGTCATCATGAACTCAGACAGAAAAAAATTATCGGAAAATATATTTTTTTTCCCTTGAGCAAGTCACCTTTTCACTCCCTGAATAAATATTATTTAAATCGTTAAATATTTGTTTGTTATTTGAAAATAAATTTTATCAGAATTTTAAGTTAATGAACATGAAATTATTCATTAAAAAGTGTCATTACTACTTGCTTAAAGAGAACAATTAATTAAGATTCAAGAGTGTATCCTAATATTTTTAATTTAAAGTTTAAAAGTGCGAAAATAGAGAAAAGTGGACTAGAGGGAGTGGTAGACACGCGTCATCGTAGACGCGTGGGTAGAGAAGAAGAAAGCGACAGTTGAAGATGTAAGAATCTGACACGTCGGACGCGCGGAATTGTCGCTGTTGTCGCTGACACCTCTCTTCTGCCCCCACCTTATTTTTTCCTTTATTTTATTCAATTCAATTATTTATTTATTTTTATATGTTTGAAACGAAATTCTAGATTCGAACTTGGTGTTTTTTATTTATTTGTTTTGAAATAAATAAAAATATTGGCTCAACAATGTTGTATATGTGTATATTAAATTAACGTAATAAGATTGAGTTTTTCGAGTCAATGAACATCAAATCAAGAGTTTATTGTAAATTGCTCCCACAGACCACCGGTTTTGAAAATCGTACAAAAGAAAAATCAAAATATATAAATTTACGATGATGTGTATAGGGGAAAGGACAAGTCTGAAAACAAATTTATAAAAAAATATAGTTAGGATTTGGAAAAAATAAACAAAAGGATTTAGTCCACCAATATTGTAACAACTCAAATGTATTATATACATGAGCCAAAATTTTGATTTAGTTGAATTAACGTATGAATAAAGGCATAAAAAAAATCTTGTTAATTTGAGAAATTTACATCAGAACATACAAAAAAAAACCAATAAGTAGTGGACAATGGTCGAAATGGTGTTGTTCTCTGATCCCGGTCGATGATTCGAATCCAGCTGTTGAGAAGGGAGAGGTGTATTTACCTGCTGAGAGGATATTGCTCTTTTTGTCCTATCGCCGGTCATTCTAAAGGTTGTTCTCGGGCTTGAGGTGATGAAGGTTAGACCGAAGATCCATGTGAATCTCTCGGTTATAAAAAAACATAAAAAATAGGAAAAAAACTCTAAAAATTCCTGAACTTGTATTTTGGAGTAATATTAATTTCTAAACTTGTAGAGGTGCCTATTAATTCCCAAACTTGCAAAATTAAACACGTTAAATCCTGAACTTGTTAAACGGTTCCATATTCGTCCATAGCGTTATTTGGTCAAAAAAACGAGTTGACCGATCCGACGTGGCTCGCCACGTCACACGCCACGTCGGATCGGGCAACTCATTTTTTTTTTACCAAATAACGTTATGGACAAATATAGAACCGTTTAACAAGTTCAGGATTTAACGTGTTCAATTTTTCAAGTTTGGGAATTAATAGGCACTTCTACAAGTTTAGGAATTAATATTACTCCAAAATAAAAATTCAAATTTTTTTAGGGTTTTTGTGAATAAAATATAAGTATCTTTTAATTTCTAAATTGTTTATGAATTGTTTTAGAAAAAATTATATTAAAAAGAATATAATTTCCGTCAAAAAATTTTGAAAAAAATGAAAGGGGGTAAATAACGTGGACCCACCAAACTTATATGCTTAATTAAGACATGCATTTTTTAAAAATATTCTCCAAGTAGAAATTAATAACATTGCCAAAAAAAAGTCTCTAACGTTCAAATGAATATTTGTTCAACTTTTATTTCTTTTCTCTCAATGAAAATAAAATTATGAACTGTTCTTTTGAATAAATATTTATTTATCATAGAAATTATATGAAATTTAATATGATTTTCAATCTCGTTAGGAAGAGTAGAAAGAAAAAAAATTATTTGAGTACAATTTAGCATTGACCCGAAAATGAGAACCACTAATTTGCCAAAATAAAACAAGGTAAATAATAATTAAATAAAAGTTTTGTATGAATAAAAACAAAGTAAATAAATAAATAAACAGATTTTTGGATAAGAACGAATCGTTGATTAAATGTTTTGTTAATTCAATTGATTTAACTTAATTTAGGGTCATTAGAATAATCTATTTAAATAAATAAATTACATTGATGTGCTCGATATGTATTTCTTCCACAACATTATTTTATTATCTTATTTTTAGTTTTCACAGTTTGATTATATATTCATGACTATTAAAAAATATATTTGATTTAGAAATATTCTTTTTAATATAAATTTTTCTAAAACAATTAATAAAAAATTTAGAAATTAAAAGATACTTATATTTTATATTCACAAAAGCCCTAAAAAAATTTGAACTTTTATTTTGGAATAATATTAATTCCTAAACTTGTAGAGGTGCCTATTAATTCCCAAACTTGCAAAATTGAACACGTTAAATCCTGAACTTGTTAAACGGTTCTATATTCGTCCATAGCATTATTTGGTCAAAAAAACGAGTTGAACGATCCGACGTGGCGCGTGACGTGGCGAGCCACGTCGGATCGGTCAGTTTAGGAATTAATATTACTCCAAAATACAAGTTTAGGAATTTTTAGGGTTTTTTCCCTAAAAAATAATATATTATCTTAAAAGCCGAAAAGCGAAAACAAAAAACTATTTAGCAGAAGTTAGGTTCAATGTGCAATTTAAATATTTTAACATTATTAAAGAACAATAATTTGGAACCCATTTGCAATCATTAATTCTTATGCATATATATATATATATATATATATATATATTGTACGTGTGTATGGGTAAAGCATAAGTTGTGTGTGTGCTGTGTGTATATATCTATATATATTAAAGAGGGAGATAGTGATATTGGGGGACAAAGCATGGGAGGTGGTGAGTGTGCAGTACACTTCAATAAGCGCATAATCTTTAAAATGTGAGAAAGCATTTGCTGTTCAGATTTCATAATTTATCTATTTTTCTCTGTTTCTTCAAATAATTTTAAAATTCATTTAGGTTTTGTAACCTTCGAAAGAGTTGTTATATATATATATATATATGTATATGTGTGTGTGTGTCTGTGTGAACCATATCTTGCACATCTTATGTATATGACAATAAGGGCATGGTGTAAAGTGTATGGTGTTAGGGGATCTACAAATAGAATCTTGACCGATTGATGTTTTATTTATTTATTAGGTTAGACACTTTCAACCAATCTAAGGACCATTTCTAAGCCTTGTTTGTTATTACCATGTAACCTTTTTTTTCCAATAATAAAGTATTGTTAGAATAATAATAATAATAATAATAGTTCAAATGGATAAAATTAAGAAAAGGTGGAAAGGCTTGGATGTAAAGTGTACGGTGTTAGGGTTTGTGTCATGCGAGTTGTCCGCTTCCAATATGATAATATGACACCCTTTTGTGCAGATTTAGATTTACCTTTTCTTTGCGTCGGGTTTATGAGTAAAAACTTTATATCATATTATAATATACAAATATATGTTCCATTCTGAGAATTAATAAAATATTTGAATTGGTATATTTAATACACATGTAAATTATAAAAGTGTATATATGTTCACAAATACTAATATATATATATATATATAGATTGAAGGGTTGTGATGATGATGGTCCATCCAAAATCTTTTATAGCGTATTTGATTATTATTTTTTTTTTGTAGCTTTGCCTTTTGAGTTGTGTCCCCTAAAAACACTTTGTATCTTAGTCCTTGGAGGAATGGACCGACGTACACTTATCACCAAACCCATCACTTTCCACACACACACACCACTTGATATGGACCCAAGGTTGTATGCACTATGATATTCCATGTCTCCTTTCCTTATATATATATATATACCCCTAATTGCATATACTATATATTTATATTACCTCACTTTCAACCGTCTAATTGCATCGGATTTAAATTTCCACTCATTTAAGACACGTTATTAATCATGGGTTTGGAGATATCCATATTTTGTTTCACATTACTATACCAAAAACTCGAAACCAACAAAAAAAACCCTAATGTATATCATCTCCGGATCTCTTATTGATGTTGATTGATACGTTTATTTTCTGTTTCGTCTCGTGACAAGAAAAATGACATCTTATAAGATATATTTTAGATGTTCTAATCAAATCTCAACAACTAATTAAAAAGAAAAATATAGACTAAATCAAAATGGGATGATAGATTTGCCAATATCTTAGATGATGGGAGTAAGGAACCGATAAAATGATAATCGAAATTAAAGCACTAAGGGCCTTTTTCCTTTTTACGTCGGAATATATAATTTTAACACGTGGCATTTTAGTTTAACTCTACAAAAAGTGGGTGGACCTGGTGTGATGTCTTCTGAAACACACACTTCTAAAAAAAATTCTTCTGAAACATACATACATACATACATACATACATACATACATACCGTTTGGTTATATTTCATCGTTATGGATGGTACCATTCAAAAGATACATAAGAAAGAAAGAAATATTTCATCATTAGCTAACAAAAAATATTTCATCATTATTAATTTCTATATGTTTTCTTCTTCTTCCTCTATCAGAATTTTTTTTATTTAACTATAACCAAGATGTTTAGTAAATATACATACATATATATACACTTGCGACATATAATCTTGATGCACAATATTAATGAATGGTTGCTTATAATTTAACGTGTTTCCAATAATAGTTCCTTCTGGTCTACATTAGGCACCCATTCATACATCCAAGAAGAAATATCTATTTTTAAAAACAATATTTAAAAATATGTTTTTTTAAAAGATATATATATATATTAATGAAAAGTGCGTACAATGTCCATAATTATCTTTCCGAAAGTAGAAAAAAAAAATGCAACAGTAAAATAGACATCTGAAGAGACCGAGGAGGGAGGCTAAAGGTGAAATCTTTTCTTTTACCAATCATGACTTCTGAGTCATAATCTGAATATATAAATAATAGTTTTCATGTGAAGACGCATTGGGGTGAGAACTAATGATGAATGCTACAGAAGCACAAAACATCATACGAGTGATTACTGAACTAAATTGGATTTGGAAAGGCTGAGTGTGCATGGTGCTGTACTGTGACCAAAACAGTACACACACACAGACATATACATACATACATACATATATATGTATATACACAGAAAAAGGGTGGGATTGTAGGACCATTAATAAAAAAAAAATCTCATCTTTATGTGTCAAGTTGGATGGTTTGCAGAGAATGCTCATCCAAGTATTCTAATGGGGAGTTCCTTTGGTTTAAAGACCCACCACCACCTGCGTGTCTCTGTCATTGGTTTCTTAGATTTATGCTAAACCGACCAGACAGGCATCCATGGATCAAAGGGAAAACACCAAAGACGGTGTTAATCTGATGATATTTTCGATCAATCGACCCTTCGAGATCTTAGCTCTATGCTTTGTATGTGTGCCCTTCATTTCTGATATACACACTTTGAAGAAACAAACAGGAGATATTCCAAGATGACAAGGACATGGATGGATATCCATCTAGTTGTTAAAGTATCAAGAACGTGAAAAAGAATCTGACTTTGGATTTTATCTATAGCGTTTAGCAGATCGGGTTCTCCGAATCTGGCATGTGATAAATTCCGTTACTTGGTTAACAGCATGTTCAAACAAGGCACGTCAACAGCTATTAAGAACGAAAACCACACATCCTATAGCAATCCAACGTGAAGAAGGGAGCTTGATGTTTACCTGCAAACAGATGGCTTTCTATGTGGAAAACAAAACCCGGGTCCAAGGCAAAGAAAGAGGCTTGATTGCTACGTGATTGGTATCTGCCAAGAACTGTAAAAAACATGCAATAATGAAACAACTGACCTTTTTGTTGTGTTTGGTACACGAATATGACTTGAGGCCTGAAATGGGGGGATGGTGGAGAGCGACTGAATTGTCCATTGCCTTTGGCTCTTTTTCCCACTATGTCTTCACACGGCACATGAATCCTGGACCCTTCACGCAAATAAATGATGTGTCGTGTGTAAACACGGAGATTCCCATTTATCATTTTCTTCAAGCAACTATCAGGAGAGTTGTACATATCATAAAGGATAAGAACAAAGTTATACCTGAGCAGCCTTCATAACCTCCACATGGTTGATGGTTCACATCATCTGACAGTACAAAACCTCTTATTTTTCGGGTACCCTTTTAGACTCCTTGACACGTCCCACTGAAAGTAACTTGTTTTGGCATTCCATGATTAAGTTTGATAAAACCCATTAAGAGTTCACAATGGATCTCTCATGACAGAGACAGCTAGATTGTGTTTACAATTCTGCTTCCAGTGTCTAACAAGCTCTCTATTATTTCCTTGAAAAAGCAGGAGGATTTTGTGAAGAAAATGATTAAAAAAATTGTATCCGAGGCTCAGGGCCCCAGAAGCCTTGCTAATAACAAAAGTTGACTGGCCGGAGAAGTGTAGTCAATATGCCTTGTATACATCTGTAGTTTGATGAACAATCATGAGATAACAGAGGAAGACTGCATTTCATTGCCAGGATTGATCTCTCTCCGACCGCTGAGTGCCACAAATCTGTCATAGAATGAAAGCAATGGGCATTTCTCGATCAAATTAGAACCGTCATAAGCTTCCTTGAGAAAGACGGTACTCCTCGCTCCTTTGTTAGTGAGGTAAAATAAGCCCTGATGCTTTATCAAGCAAAGAACTAGTCTTGATGGAAGCATATATTCAGAATGAAATGCGTTTATCTGAGGGGACGTCAACCTCTTCTCCATTGTTAAACTAAGAAGCTCATGAAGCACAGCTACAACTCGTTTTCTAGCCTTTGGATCCGCGGCTTCAAATCTTCTCGGGTTTAAGTATGGAGAAGGAAATTCCATTCTCTGCCACTTCTCAAATTCCTCAAGATAACTTGTGTTTGGCCTAAAACCCGCAGGAAAAGATATCTTAAATGCGTATTGGCCTAAGAAATTACCATCCTTTGTGATTCTTATTCTCTTTCTGTTCCCAACTGAGTCGAACACTCCTTCACGCGATAACTTCTCTTCTCGTGCAGTGACTGCTATTGACGAATCCCAGTTCTCTAAACCAAGATGAGCTCTGCCATTGAAATCCTTCACCGAGAAAAACTCTGGGTACTTTGGGATCAATGTATTCTTAAAGTCTTGAGGCAAACCCAATTCAGATTGCATAAACTCAATCTTCTCAAGAGGAACTCTACAATCAACAGACATCATCAATAACTTCCTCAGATTCTTAACCAAGATAGGTTCCATTAACTCCCTTGCTTTAGCTTCCTCGTCTGCAATCATCTTGGCTTTCTCGGTCAGTGTAACAAATGGAGGTTCCCTATTTCCTCCACCAACGTAAAATATCAAAGGGTACTTCTCGATTACAGCCATGAAATTCCACTTTTGTACAAACCCGACATGCTTCTCGAGATCACGGAGAAGCAATGCACCATGCTTCTGCGTTTGAATGATGGATTTCAACTCAAGTATCAAGTTTGGTTTCTTCTTCAAGTCCATTGCTTTATCAAGATCATGAACTCTGTGGTATATTTTCTTCTTGGGTCTCCTTCCTCCACTCGATTTTTGTCTCACCTGAACAAGCGTACATCCCGATTTCCCAAATGGGTGTTCTTGAAACAACAAAAGATCTTCAATTTCTTCGAATATATTAGTTCTCAGACACTGACGTAGCCCCAAAAAGATCGAACTTCTTCCGTACAATGTCCGTTTGGACATTCTATCAAACAGCTTGTGCGCAATATTATCCCACGATACACTAAAAATTCGAAACTATGACGCATAATCCACTGGAACGAAATCTAGATACAGATTGAAACGCAAAAACCCATGACAACAAAAAATCACCATTCCACAAAACCTGAAAGACCAAACCCATTTCGAGAAAAGAAAATGGAACCTGAATTGCCTCCAAATTGCTTAAGATCCCCGGTTCCTGGAGCTTGGTTAATACCGCTCCAACTATCAAGACCGTTCATAATCACTATCCGTAAGGAAATCCCACAAAAGGACAGATTTGAGGAAACAAAGCCACCCAATCAGCTCATTAGCCTATGAACCCTAATCATCTGCCACAAAGATTCAAAATCGAGGCAGATTGAAGAAACCCAGGTTGAGGAAATAACAAGAACAAAATTTGCCAGGAGAGAGAACAACCCCACACGATAAAGCTACCTACTACGATCGGAATTCACATTCCAAAAATACCTAAACGCTAGAGGAATAAAAAATTAAAATGGTGGTCTTGAAATATTTAAAATAAAAATTTTACTCTGATATTAAGTCCAGAAAAGTCCGTCTAATTTCTCTATTTTTAAAATTTTAAATTAGATTTTCATATATAGAATTCATATACTAATATACCTAATTCACTCACTAACTTGACCAAAAAAACAAGTTTTATATTGAATTGGATCCAATCGGTTGCATGTAATGCGATATAACACTGTCTAAAGTAACTTACTTTATGATTACAAATGATATATTTTACATCAAGTTACATGTTATTATTAGAAATGTACGAACAAGAGGTTAAGTTAACAGTACAACTACTCATGAAGAACTTGGATGTTCCAAGTAAAGCTGCAAGCAAAGTGGGTCACTGTCCAGAGACTTGATCGGAGTAATCAATGGCGGCTTCTGCCACTGCTTCGTGTCCGTCGGTATCCATGTCTCTGCATCTTTGCTCGAACCCACCTCGGGAAGAGATCTGAGATATGCCGTTACCTCCCATCTGCAATCTTTAAGGTGAAAGATCAAAGCTTTGTCACATCCGGGCGGAATAACAACAGTTTAACAGCGAAGAACATCACACAGTTGATGGTGTGATACATGGTAAGAGTATGTAGAGATGTATGTATGTATGTATGTATGTATGTATGTATGTATGTATGTATGTATGTACCAAGGGGAAGAGTCTTTAAGAGGGGTTTTGAGAAGGGAAGCTTGATCAAGAAGGACCTAAGCGAGAATTCCAGTTGAGCTGCGTCGGTTTCGTGAGATGGATTGATGGTGAGCTTGAAGATGAACCTTTCAATGGGAATGTTATCCTTGTTGAAAAAGATGACTGCCACTCTTTCAACCAGATCCTGTTTCCGTAAACAATGGCTGACTCAATAGTCAATATCGAAACCGCCTTTCCCTTACCCTTACCCTATCATAATACATGCCAATGCCAGAAGTTGTACAAAAAGACAAATGAAAACGGAGCACATGACTAAGAGGCTCGGTACAAATACAGGTTCCGAGTCTCTTAGTGATTGTACCGACCTTTGAGAGTGGAAGTTCCAAGCATAAGAAGCAACATGATTCACATTGTAAGTTCCAAGCATAAGAAGCAACACGAATCGCCCCCACGAGGTGATCGATCTTATCTAAATTAATCAGAAACTAAACAGACAAAGCGTATTCTAACACACTGACCTTTTGTATAAAGGGAAGAAGCCCAGAAGTAGCAGAATGGATATAGTCCCTAAGCTCAGGATGCCGAGCTCTTTGCACCACAACATTCATATATCTCTGTCTCTCGAATGCCTCTTTGCAAACACACCCACCAGAGTCAGATTATTGACAAAAAAACATCTACAACCAGCAAAATCAAAACTTTTCCCCCCATTGTTTAGACATACAAAGAATATAAGTAGTGATCAAATCATATTGAGCACAAACTGATACCAAGTTAGCAACTTTGCACCTGAGCATGATTTAGCCTAAATGTGGCTTGAAAGTTCAGAAACTAAACATACCGGAAGGGTAAACGCCCTTGAGGAAGACAATGGATGAAACGGCTACCTCCAAAAATTCCACCAGAGTTTGAGCAAGCTCTCCTGCTACAGTGTTGTGGGGACCAAACTCAGGAACACAGAACTACTGTCAGATATATAACACAACTCGGGAGTGGGAATCGAAAGGACAACCACTTGAGGACTGATGGTCATCGTTCCTGCTCATTGGCATGCCCTTAAAGCAGTCGAATTTCAGAGATTTTCTTCAGATAGCAAGGAGAACACACGGTCGCTGCCTGGTTCAAAAAGCCTGATTCTTCGTTTCTCAAACTAATTCAGGGCAGAAATGGTCGACCCAGAAAACTTAAAATGTTTTTCTGCATCGATCGAACAGTTTTTCCTCCCAAAAACATCGATTTTCATCGGAACACTGCCACTACCTGAAAAAGGTCGAAACTTTCCGAGGAAATCCTAGGAAAACAAGCACCAACAACAAAGTATGAATTACAATTGCGATGACTCAATCACAAACCTTATACAAAATTTTCCCGAGAAATGTTCCGAGCCTGGATTTTTTCCGTCAAAGCAAATTTTCGCTGGGAAGCCAAGCAGATTAGATTAATCCGGTTTATACTCTGAATGGGGTCCAATTACCCGACCCGATATCCCATGGACTATTCTACAACCTGACCCGGTAGCCCAATTGCTTATATAAGCGCATATATTTTAGATCATGCGACGGATTTCGACTTCAGGAAAGAAGCACTAATACTAATACTGTTCCTTTTCTGGTGTTAAATCTGTTGAAAGGATTTTGCTTTTTTATGAAGTTGGATATTATTACGAGTGCCCAGAACGCCGGAGAAACAGTGACGAGAACCGCAAGACCGAATTCGAGAGATTACTGAGGTATGTTTATGTTCTGCTCTGATTCGTAGTTTAGGTGTCGATTCCTTCTACTTCTCTTGTGTGTGGGTCAATTGAATCTGGGATTATCTGAGCTCTGAGAAAATTCTCGAAAGTTAGGAACTTTGGAAGAAAAATGTTGTTGACGATGATGCGTACTGAAATAGATGTCAAAGTTTTGAAATCTTCGTTGATCCGTACCTACCTGTGTTCCCTTGTTATAGAATTTGTTGAAAAATTTTCAGATCCTGGGTTTTTGGATTTTTTTTAGTAGAATCTGTTACAGTTTTCCGGAGCTATATTTTCGAATCCTGAGTGGGATGTCTTTATTTTGTCCATAATTGGATCTCAAGCGTGCCGTTTATCTCAGATTAATTTCCCAGAGATTATGAATTATGAGTGGCTATGGCTATCTTCCGTATTAGTACTTAAAAACTCGCTCATGTGGAGCATCAACTATGTGATTTGATTACAGGGAAGACGGAGACAATGGCGAGGAGAGGGAGAGCCTGTGTGGTAGTTCTTGGAGATCTTGGTCGGAGTCCTCGTATGCAATATCATGCTCTTTCTCTTGCTCGCCAGGTTCTGTTTGTACCCATTTTTTACTTCGATTTCTCTTTAACTATTTTAGGTGTGCTTTTGCTTGGATTACCACTGCGAAATCCGACTATTTTCGTGATTTGATTGTTTTATATTAGTTCTGTGTTCTTTAAACGCGTAGCGGGGGAAATCACTCATTTCATTTGTTGCTAAAAATTCAGGACGCTAGCTTTCCATTTCTTCTGATGCTGAATCAGTATGAGAAGTGGCACTTGTCACCATAAATGTTTGTCCCATCAATCATATGTTATTGTAGCTTTATCAAAAGTTTGGTATTGATATATCATGTTTTTCCTCTCTAGAGCCTCTTCTCTGTGCTTGCTAGTTAAATCTTTACATGGAAAATGAACTGAGTGCTACTCAACAGTCTATTCCTTACCTTGATCAGCAAGCTGATTGTCATTTGAAATTGCAGATGTCATTTCAGGTGGACATTGTTGCATATGGAGGTGGGATCCTTGATACCTTTTTTAATGTTTTTTTTTCTCTGTGGATGCTCCTTTTGCTGGTTGTATAATGAGTCGTAGTACATGAATAGGTTCAGTACCACATGAAGCTCTTTTAAAGCATCCATCCATTAAGATCCATACTATGGTATTTCTTTCCCTGAATCGAATTCTTGTCACTAAATATTGGAATTCGTTTCTTTCTCCGGTTTTGGTTTTTCATATATTTTATGCTTTCTCTCTGTCTAAACAGGTGCAGCCTAAATTTCTCCAAATCTTGCCGAGAATTTTTTATCCGATAACGCTGTTGCTAAAGGCAATCATTCAGTTCACCATGCTCCTCTGGTATCTTTGTGTAAAAATACCAGCGCCTGATGTCTTCTTGGTCCAGGTAAATATTTCTGTTTCTCTTAGAGATTCCATTTTCGTTTTGCTCTGCTTGTTGCATCATGCTGCATCAATGCCCTAGGTACCAGCTTCTTATCTTTGATTAACATTTTTGGGTCTGCAGAATCCCCCTTCTGTTCCAACCTTAGTGTCAGTAAAGTGGGCGAGCTCATTGAGGCGGGCCGCATTTGTTGTAGATTGGCATAATTTCGGATATACATTGCTCGCGTTGTCTCTAGGAAGAAATAATTTATTGGTATCCTTATATCGCTGGTATGTCTGTGACCCCCCTTGTATATGTGTGTCTGATTCATCTATGAATCTCCTCTTTCGTTAAGAGAGAAGTGAACCCTTCATGTGCATTAGGTTTGAAAAACGTTATGGAAAGATGGCTACTGGTTCACTATGTGTGACAAAGGCGATGCAACATGAACTGGATCAGAACTGGGGAGTGAGGTCAGACAGCTCTTTCTCATGGTCCCTAATCTGTGACATTATGATTTGGAGGAAGTTTCATAATCATAATTTCGTATATGCCAATGCTGTGAATCTAAAACAGAGCAAGAGTTTTGTATGACCAACCTCCTGAGTTTTTCCGGGTGGCTTCTCTTGAAGAAAAGCATTCGGTCAGCTAGTCTTTCCCTCTTCTTTTTTTCAATAAGTTCCATCAATTTCCAATTGGGGATATGCAGGATTGAGGGTAATAGAAAACTTGGGTTTAGTTGTTTTGCAGATTGAAGAAAGATCTTTGTCACCCTGTTGGTGTTCACGATATCATCAGTGGAGGTGACTCTTTTAATTATAAACAAAGGGTCGATGTTTGGTATCATTTTGAGCTTTTCCATTCATTCTGATAGTAAACCTTATACTGAAATGTAGAGTTGGAGAAGCAAAATCCGCATGAAACTCTTTTCACTGCCAAAATCGATGACAGTATTTTCCTGAAGCCAAATCGGCCAGCGCTTGTTGTGAGCAGTACTAGCTGGTAAGGTGTATCTTTGTGCATTAACCTTGCTTTGGGTTGTTATGCTTTGTGATTTATGTGACGTTGAATAATAGAACAGGCCCGTTTATTTTCAGGACCCCTGATGAAAATTTCAGTATTCTATTGGAAGCAGCAGTGATGTATGACCGCCGCGTTGCTGCAAGGTTGAAAGGAAACGATGATTCAGTGGAGATTTCTGAAGAGCAGCAGCACATTTATCCCAAGTTGTTGTTTGTCATTACAGGTAAAATTTAATGTTCTTTCTTGTTAAATGGTTACACTCTGATTTCCTTTCTGATTCTCCAAAATATATGTGAAGGTAAAGGGGCCGAGAAGGAGAAGTACGAGGAAAAAATGAGAAGGTTGAACCTCAAACACGTGGCCTTTCGGACCATGTGGCTTGCAGCTGAGGATTACCCATTGCTCTTAGGTTGATGCTTATACACCTCTCTTTATGTATATTTTTCTTGTGAATCTCTGTATGTTATGATCATATATAATGTTTGTTTTCTCCATGTGCAGGTTCTGCAGATCTCGGAGTTTGCTTACATACATCCTCCTCTGGTTTAGACCTTCCCATGAAGGTATGTATATGATGTAACACTCATGCCATGATCAAAGCCTATGGGGTGATTCATGAACTGAGTTTAATATTTTCAGGTGGTTGACATGTTTGGTTGTGGGCTGCCAGTATGCTCGGTCTCCTACTCATGGTAAAAAGCTTGCTAAATGTTCTGTGTCCTACAATTTTTGATAATTGTGTTTTATTTGAACCCGACTTTATATATTTTTTTTTCCGGGGATGAAGCATTCATGAGCTCGTTAAAGATGGAAAGAACGGTCTCCTCTTCTCATCTTCATCGGAGTTAGCAGACCAACTATTGGTAGGAAGTTGGTTTTCTGTTCTCCTTCAGTATCATCTCTTGGATGATCATACAATGATCAGAGAACGTGTTTTTCTTTTGTAATTATGCGAAAACAGATGCTGTTGAAGGGGTTTCCAGAGAGATGTGATGCTCTAATGGCGCTGAAAGAGGGAGCAATGGAGACTGGTTCTTCTGGTAGATGGGCTTCCGAGTGGGAAGACAACGCCAAACCTTTGTTTGCTGAGGTGACTCTCTCTCTCTCTCTCTCTCTCTCTCTCTCGTTTGTCCCAAGGAAAAGAAAAGACCTTTACATTACGTATGGTTGATGTTTCCGCAGGTTGTTTCCCAAATCACGGATTGAACCGCCGTTTCTAGTTTGGTACTTGAAAGCATAGAGTTCATCACCGACTTTGGCCCCATTTCGAATCAGTGTTTTATTGGGTGTTAGATTGTATATTCGGAATCTAATGATATCATAATTGAATTGATCATCTCCATCATATTTGTTTTTTGTTAAATTCCTAATTCATGTGACATTTATGATTTATCATATTGTAGATTTTGTTTGGTTTCATATTTCATTTTAAAATCCATGATCGAGAAATAAATTAATGCGTTTCTTCATGACAAACTCAGATAATTTGTGTATATGTATATATATATATATATCAAATACACAGCAAAATGTAACTTGGAAAATTTGAAGCATATTAAATCCTCCGCAAAATGACCGAACTCGCAATATCTTAAAATAATCTATAAAAAAAAATGAAACACGAAATATAACATTGCAATGTCTTAGATCTTGTCCTCGAAGTCAGACAGAGGAGTCATCTGTTCCTTGAGCCCCTTCCTCTTCCTGATCTCCGCAACAATGGTCGCAGCCTGCGAGCCTGCCTCCATAGGATCCGACGACATCATGTCCCAATGATCAAACACTGCCTGAGGGAACGCCTGTCCAGACGTCGCCGCCCTCAACTGTCCCGAGAACCCGAACGACTCGATCACCGGTAGATACGCTTTGATGTTGTATAGCGGTGTTCCCGGCCTCTGCATCTCCTCGAAAACGTGCCCACGTTTCTGGTTCAGGACGCTGTATATTCCTCCGAGAGCTTGCTCGGGTGCTTGGATCTCCACCAAGTAGACTGGCTCAAGGAGTCTCGGCTTGGCCGTCAGGTGGGACGCGTATAGGACTCGTCTTGCTGTCGGGATGACCTGACCGCCGCCTCTGTGGATGGCATCGGCATGGAGGACCACGTCACAGACCTCGAAACAGATGCCTCTCATGTTTTCCTCGCACAGGGGACCTTCCTTCGATGCCCACTGGAAACCTGCCACGACCGAGTCCTTGATCTCGTTCAAGTACTGGACTCCCTTACACATATCAACCACCATGTTCGGTCCGGTTGTTTCAGGGCCGAAAGCCCAGATTTTCTTCGCGAGGTCCTTGTCCCAGCCAAACTCCTCAGCTAAGATCTTGGAACGGACCTTCGGGTCATCTCTCGGCCCGATACGGCCATCATCGATGGCTTCAGCTAGACCTTCCTCCAAGGGCCGTGCTTCCATGTAGAGACGGTTATGCTTGTTCGGGGATTTGCTCATTACTGTCCTGCAGGATCTCTCGAGGACAGTCTCACGGAAGGAGACAACAGGGTCTGATTTGATGATCTCTGCACCACCCATGAAATCATCTTGCAAATCCTTCAGACAGATCTCCAAGTGGAGTTCTCCTGCTCCGGCAATGATATGCTCTCCGGATTCTTCGATCGTGCAGACAACCATAGGATCTGACTTGGCCAAACGTTTCAGTCCTTCCACAAGCTTTGGCAGGTCGGAGGCTACCTTGCACTGAACAGCGACACGGACAACAGGTGAGACCGAGAATTTCATGGCGCGAATAGGGTGGGCATCCACTTCTTTCTCGTTTGTGAGAGTTGCATTTTTCGTGATGAACTGATCCAGTCCAACCATGGCAACAGTGTTACCACAAGGAACATCTTCCACAGTTTCTTGTCTCTTTCCCATCCAGATGACAGTTCTCTGCACACTCTTCACATACAAGTCCTTCTTCTCACCTGGAATATAGTTAGGACCCATAATCCTCACCTTCACACCCGTCGCCACTTTCCCAGAAAAGACACGCCCGAAAGCAAAGAACCTTCCCTTGTCTGGAGCTGGAATCATCTTTGAAACATAAAGCATGAGAGGACCCTCGGGATCACAGTTTCTGATCGCAGTAGCATACTTGTCATCAAGAGGACCTTCGTATAGGTTCTCAACACGGTATTTCTGTGCCTTGGAAGGCGAAGGAAGATGAAAGATCATCATTTCCAGGAGAGCGTCACTGGCTGGGAGCCAATTCTGCATCACACGCTTCATCAGGTGCTTCCCCATCAGCTCTTTCTCATCAGACTTCATGGTAACACCGAGCTTCTGCAACATGGGCCATAACTTGTCCTTCTGGTCGTTCATGCAGGTGTTAATGATCTGTTTAATGGGTTCGTAACAAAACTGGACAAATCCACGTTTGCAGGTCGCAGATCCAGTGTTCTTGGTTGTCCACTTCTTTGTGGCGGGATCGAAGAAGTTCTCACCCCAGAGTCTTTCCATCATCTTGGACTCATCAACACCAAACTTCGAGGCATACATCTTTGCGAAGTTGGTGAGGGTAAAAGCCCAACCATGCAATCCAGCCGAGAAAGCAACAGTTCCTTTCTCGGGATAAACCTGAACATCCCCGAGGAGTGGGTCTTCATAAGTAGCCATGATAACATTGGCATTCTCAATCACCCTCTGGAAGGTCCATGCTTAAAAGTCATAAGGAAAGCTCACAATAAACGGATCCCTCGCCAAGATCAAAGAACTTCCCATAGTTGGCGAGATTGCATTCAATCATGGATAATTAAATCCAATCATGATCAATCATCTCCAATCATGATCCGTCATCTGGTAAGCCTCTTCGCCATCAACCTGAAGCTCGAGGAAACACCGATCCATCTTGTTAACGGTCAAAACAGGTCTGATCCTCTCACCGAGGGCTTGACGGAGGACAGTCTCTGTCTGCACACAGACACCCTCGATACAGTCGACCACCACAAGGGCACCGTCAGTGATACGAAGAGCAGCAGTGACTTCAGACGAAAAGTCAACGTGCCCAGGAGAGTCGATGAGATTGATCAGGTACTCATTCCCATCTCTCTCACCCTTGTAGCTCTTCAGAGATGCATCGCTCATTTCATAGTAGAGGGAAATACCCGTGGACTTGATAGTAATACCACGCTCTGCTTCGTCTGCACGGGTATCAGTCATACGAACATCTCCAGCAACTTCTTGGGCGATGATACCCGCAGCAGCCACAAGGGAATCGGTAAGGGTCGATTTCCCTGCAACATAAATCGTTCACCCATCAACCTCGATCGTGAGAGATATCACTGTTGAACCACCAAATGAAATCTCATCGGTGTTGTCCCGATAGAAGTGAAAATTCTTACCGTGATCAACATGAGCAATGACAGACATATTACGGATGTTGTTTTTCTTGTCCATAATTGCCCGGAGCTCATCAGCTGTGAACTTCACCTGTAAGAATTAAAACCCCGATTAACCTCTGCTGCTTGAGAGCTGGAACAAAACTGAACAATACAGCATAAACAGAACCGAAACTCTTACCATCTTGACCGGCCTTTAAGAATCGCCAACAATAGCTGATTCCTACAATTACATAAACAACAAAGGTTAGAACTTCGTTCATGAGAATACAAATAGCAGATAGAAAGAAAGGGACCTGAAATAGAAGAAAAAAACTCACAGAATCAAAATCAGACAAAGAAAACAACTTATCTGAACAGTTTAAGCGGAACCAGATGTCATAAAAGAACCCAATAAGAACTTGAATCTAAACCCTTTCAGATCAAACCCAGCATCAAAGCAAACGAGGGGAACCCACAAGCTATTTGAGAAAAACACATTCCAAACCAAAACTCAGCAGAAACAAAAGCATGCAAACACGATCACAGAATCTACGATTAGAAAATCAATGATCAGAGTTTAAATCTGAAAACACCTACGATCAGAGCGACTTTCTAGAAAAACGTAGCCACAATTCTGGAGAGAATGATCTCATAAAAACAAAGTCAGGCACCAAAACAAAAAAGAAAAGCGAGGAGAGTCACGAAATCAAAGCAAAACACAACAAAACCCCCAGAAACCAAAGGCGATCAGAACACCAAAATTCACAAAATCAAAGATCAGAATGTTCAACCGAAAAATCAACGATCAAAACCACGGAACATACAATCTAGATCGTCAAAAGAGCGCAAACCCACCTGAATAGAAGCGAGGAACGAGGGAGAGGGAGAGAAAGAGAACACTATTTCAGGAAGTCGGAACAACAAGTGATGAGAACATACACGAGGACGGAAAAACCCGTAGGCGTAGGGTTTCTTTCTGTTTTATATATATTTTCTTAAAATGGAGGTGGGCCCTTTGGGCTTTAATAATTATTTTTAAATTTTAATAAAAGCCCAAATATCACGGCGGTCTAAAATATAAATGGCTAATATTGTCTGCACATTACATCAAACCCAAATTGCAAACAAAAGATATAAAAATGGAAAATAAACGCATGAGGAATTAATTATAATATTTTTTGTCTGCGTTATCTTTTTTTTTTCGTTACAAAATGCTATTCAAAGTATCAATAGCTTATTTGCCTTGGATTTTTTCCTTTCATAAATCAAAATGAATTCCAAACCAATTTTAGAGTTGGAACAATGAGGTTTTATCTCTCGGACAGTAAGTAACCTTTGTGAACATGAAAAGGTCACTTTGCTACTCAGATTCTTCTTTTGCAATATCAAAACATGTTTGAAACAAAAACCCGGTTTCTGATATGTTTAACGAGCATTCCTGTTGAGAAGCCCTTGGAAAGATAGGTAGAGATCTTTGTTCTCAGTCCCGAATATCTCCTCGGCCTTCCTCAGTGTTTCCTGGTTTTTTTTTTAAAAAAAAAAGAGGCATCGCGATTAAGCTGAAACCATTCTTGCAACGGAGAAGAAATGGCACGGGAACGATGTTCTTACCTCCCGGGTTTGCTTCTGCGCGTTAAGTTCTTTGATGTTGGCCAAGAAAGCACTGAACTGTTCGTAAGATAGCCGGCTCCTGGATCATGAACAGAGTTAGTTTATGACTGTCCTATAGTACGAGGCAATGCAAAACATAAAGAACTCACCTTGCTTGACGGAAGAACTCCTTCCCATCCATCCGAGGGGTTCGGGCTGCAGAAATTCATACATTGCGTGTAAAAATAGTAGCATAATCAAGTCTGAGAAAGGTGAGAAATCAGTCAAGAACTCAAACGTTTCTACTACCATCTGAGAAAAAGTGGATTTGTGCAAAGATGAATAACGGTACAAACCCGGAAGCAGACGTCCTCGGGGAGGAGAATTTGCTGCGGAAGATTGCTGACTTGAGGGGTACCAGAGGGGTGTTGCTTTGCCTTCATAACAAGATCCAGTGGGAGAAACTGCACCTGATGTTTTCTTGGGAGATCCTGCAGCTGAATAACCTCGAGGGGATACACTTGTGGAGATGATCTTCGGTGTTCCAGTTGGGGTAAGCCGAGGAGAAATGAAAGGAGTCATGGAAAACTTTTGTCCGGCGTATCTTGAAGCTGTGAATTATAATTTCAGCATAAGTTCTCTAGATTCTGAATTGGAGTATACTCCACATGAATTCAGAGAAGAAATTTGGCTCTATCCAAGAAGTAGAAACAAGTTCCATGCAAGAACCATCCACACCTGAATTAATGGACATGGGCAACTGTTGTGATGCAAACAATGAAAGACATAAACTCAACAGTTACCTTCGTCTATTGGATTTGACGAGGCTACAGAGCCACTATAAGAATGGTGTACTGAATGACCATTTGTCTTTTCATCTAAATGGCAAAAACAGAAGTAGCCGACAGTGAGAAAACATACGATCAAATGCAACAGCAAAAGAAACAGAATGTCTATGTGTTACCCTTGTCTGGATAAGATCCAGGAACTGACTGGTCACATGTCCCGATATCAACAGGTTCGATTTGCTGTAAAAACAATCAGGGAAGAAATCAAATTCACAATTTTGTCGGTTGAAAAGTATCTCTGAAACTAAAATGATTGCCACAAGTGATCAAGGTAGAGAAGAAACCAGGAGGTGCAATCTGAAACTCGAAAGGCTTATGTTGCACGCTTGAACAATGATTTTAAAAAGAGAGAATTTGATAACTAAAACCGACAAGCCAAGAAGTCTTACAGATGCATTCTCATCACTCAGAGACTGGATCAACTGCCTTTTGAATGTCTCCAACTGAAAAAAAGAAAGAAAGAAGAGAGACATTATCCTCTTTTCCCACCCGAGTAAATGATTTGCAGTTTTTCTCACACAACCAGGCATATAGAGCCGGAAAAGCAGCGCTGAAATACACAAAGAACCTTAGCAAAATCACGGCTGAGTTTCTTCACCGTCATTGCAAGAGAATCGCGTTCCTTTGTCAGCTTCATCTACAATTCAAAAACACCAAAGCCATGGTTATGGATCAGAAAAAAAAAAGGAAATTTTGGTTTACTCTCCATCTATAGCAAATATCGAATTCAAATGCATGTGATTCTTGCTTAGATATTGTCGTTCGATACTTGAAAAAAATGCAGAAACATCGCATGCGATCTAAGCAGAATAGATAATCCAACTACCACTGCACAAATCAAACATTCAACAACTATCTGAAAATACAGCAATTCATCTGATTCTCTACCAATACAAGCAGCTCCCATATTTAGAAACTGACAAATGAATAAACCCTTTTGGATTCTCCAATACTAAAAGAAATCTGGCATCCAAGACAATCAAGATGTACACACTCAACTGTAAGAACGACAACAATTTGAAAGCCAGGATTTACTCCTTCAAATGACTAACTTTGAACCCTAACACCGCAATCGGCTTCGGAAATGGCCTTCCAAAATATTACTTCTCTTACGCATTGGCCTCAATCACCCTGATGAAAGCCATACACTGTGACGGTGACAAACCCTAAACCCCAATTTTTCACCGTAGCCAACCACTAACCGAAACACATGCTTAGAATGAAGACTGGAAGAAATTGAAAGAGAAGTTCTCACATTGTCGTCGAGAACGATCCTTAACCTCGAGTCAGCCTCCCGGCAATCTCTCTCCACGCGTGACATCTTCTCCTCGAGCTCATGCATGACCCTTTCCTTATCCTGGAGCTTCTGTCTCAACCCGACCACCTCGGCTTCCAGGTTCGACACCCTCGAAGCTATCGCCATGGACGTAATCTTCCTGGCGAGATCCAGTTGCTCAAAAGGGTCCGTCGGGATCACGGACAGAATCTCGTCGGGGAGATCGAAACCCGGAAGGGAATCTCCTCCTCCACCAACATGCCGCAACATTTCTAACCGACCCCCCCTCACCGGACAACCTCGGAGAATTTCCCAACGAAAAAACACTATCTTCCTACGGTTTACCCCGAACGAAGGACGAGAATCCCAAAAAGATTAGGGTTTTAAGATGAATTCGTCGGATTGCCTGTAGCTGCAGAGGGATCAAAAAGCCCTTTCGCTTGTCTGTTTCTTATAAATTTTATCGATTTATTTATTTAATCCCCGGGAAAGCCTTTTTTTTTTGTCGGCATTTTTTTTTTCTTTGTCCGAAATTTAAAAACTTTCCCTCCAAACACGGCGACCAATTTAATACTACTAATTTCGGGTGGAAAAAAAAATAAAAAGTTTATGTTAATATTATTATTCAGCAATGGATATAAATTACAGTTGACGATAATTATGATAATTATTATATTACTATATGCTAATGTAGTAATCAATTTCTACTTTGAATATTCCTTTGTTCTACAACGTAATTTTCTAAAATATTTGGAACATTTATATATCACATCACATTTCTAAAATTCGATATATCATATGTGATCCGAATGCAGTTCTAAAAAATATTAGGACATTGCTATGACAAATGATTTGATCTTTCACACAAACAACTTTATTTTCCTGTTTTTCTTGAATTTAACATTCCAAAAACAAAATACACAAATTTATAAATGTAGTATCATATCTAAATATTGTATAATATTATGTAATCGTATCAAATTTTTTTCCATATGTTTTGATATGTAATTGTAGCCGCACCATAACATTATATTCAATAATTGTTGTTGCTATAATGGTTTTGCATTATTGGAAATGAAATATTATAAATTTAAAATAATCATCTCTCTTACTAGTTCGACTCTTATAAGTTATAAAATAATTCCAAAATAAAAAAACAAAAACAAAATCCAGCAGACACTTGTTGTTATCTTTCTTTTTGGTAATATTAATCATTATAATTTATATTACTCAATAATTTGGCATGAATTTTTTTATTGCCGCAATAATAGACTAATAGTACAGGCGCAAAGAAATTCGACACAAAATTGAATCGTATACCAAACCGGTTCAAATTGTGTACCGGTGAACTGAATTTGGAACCACAGCGTGTTAAATCGTAGGATCTTTTAATTTTATTGGACAACTGAATTTGGAAAATTGCAATAATTAAAGGCTTATGGTTACAGGTTGCAACCACCAAGTCACATCCATGTAGGTGGCAGGTGACAACAGAGATGAAAATACATACATACACACATGTGAATTTGTATATACGTGTCTTAACCATTTCCTTAAATGTATAAAGACAAATACCGGTTTTATTTCCCTGTTATTTGAACTCCTTATTTAATATATTAAACCAGCTCCCATATTATTTAGAGAGGTACACGATCATATTCCACGTCATCTGAATCGCTCGGGTCGCTAGTGATCCAACCGGTTTACCAAGTTGTGGTCTTGATCAGATATCCGCCGGTTTAAATTCCCCGGTTTTTTACTGGCTATAACCGGTTCCTGACTAATCTCATGAAACCCACCAAGAGACAATTTAAGTTTAAAATTGAACCGGTTTAACCCGCTCAAACAAGCCCCCGGTTTAATCCGGCTGCAGTGTAGCATATTCGAGAACGTACGTATGTACGTACACGTGTAAGACATACATAGTGACATATATATATATATATATAAACACATTACAGTACGAATAAGGTAACAATTTATCGATCGAAAAAGACCATAGAAGAAGAAGGGAGATCGGTCGATGTATTGTCTTCAAGTGGCGGCATATCACGTGTTCTTCAACGCAGCTAGGTTAGCTTATGTTCTTGCTCTGACAATCTTCGTCTCTCTCAGCCTCTTCTCGATGACGTTCCCGGCCGACGGAGATTCAGCTCCGGCATCTTTCCGGCGATTTCACGGCGATGGTTTCGATTTTTTTCGCATCGAAGAAACCAAACAAGTTCATGCAGATTTCAATGAATCTTTATTTCATGGAGTTTTCTTATTATTGCAGAGGCTTTAGATTAAATGTTTTTTTGGTGATGCTTTAGATTTTATGTTATATATATATATATATATAAGATTTGAACTAGGTGGAGGTGGAAATTTGTTATTTAGTTTCGGTTGTGTTAAGCTTAATTTGGTTTTGGGAAAATATTTAACTTTAAAAAAAAGATATTTAGGTTTTCAATTAGATTTTAGATTCTAAAATTCAAAACCTTCTGAATTTCTGTTCATTGCCCATCTCAGAATTTTTTATGCTAATTTCTCAAAGCCTCGCATCAATTTCAGCTCCATAAAGTTTAATAAAAAATTATCTCTGTTTCATCATTCATTGTTTTTGAAAATTGGTTAAACTATCAATTTTTCATCTATTATCGAGGAACCATAGCCAATATAATAAAAAATAAATAGATACCATTAATTAATGCGTACGAGAGATTTTCCATCACACCGTGTACATATAATAGCATGGGTTCTAAATTTTGTTGGGCTTTTATTATGAATAAGCCCAAGCCCAATATGAATACCCATCTGTAAGGGACCAAATACAAAACATTACATGGTCACATCTTCAAAAAAAATCCATTTGAAAACCCCCCGAAAAGAAAAACTTAGAATCATATAATACGAAAGATTTATATGACAATAATAGCGTATATTAATTTGGTTTTAATGGCGGTACATCTGAAATTAATATTACTTTTTACGTCTTTATATAAATTAATTTAAATAATAAATCTATCTATATATATTAATAAAGATGTTTAAAGACATATGGTGAAGCCACCTCATCTACATGTCATTTGATTTAGTTTTGATTAGTTATTAAGAAATTATCATAGAATTAAAGGAGTAATTTTTAAAATATAAAATGATTAGGCCAAAATAAAATTTTAAAAATTAAAGAAAACATTTAAAAATAAAGAAATGATGAATATATTTATAAGAAAATTAATAAAATACAAATATTTGTAATAAAATGAATTGTTACATTAAATTATATTTATTTATTTATGAAATACCAACAGATAAGTTAGAAATATAGTTATGAAAAAATTAAAATAAACTTTCAGTCTGAAAACAATTACATTTGAAAAAAAGAGTTGATTACAAATTAAATTCTAAAACTATAAAATTTGTTACGTATATTACTAAATTAGATTGTTATTTTTTTTAAAAAAAAATTGGTTATCAAGAAATTATATAGAATTAAATGAGTAACTTTTAAAATATAAAATGATTAGTCCAAAATAAAATTTTAAAAATTAAAGAAAAACTTTTAAAAATAAAGAAATGATGAATATATTTATAAGAAAATTAGTAAAATACAAATATTTGTAATAAAATGAATTGTTATATTAAATTATATTTATTTATTTGTGAAATACCAACAGATAAGTTAGAAATATAGTTATGAAAAAATTATAATAAACTTTCAATTTGAAAACAATTACATTTGAAAAAAAGAGTTGATTACAAATTAAATTCTAAAACTATAAAATTTGTTACGTATATTACTAAATTAGATTGTTATTTAAAAAAAAGAAGAAGCTTGTATAAGACTATATGTTAACAGTTTGATTAATTTTGATACCAATGATGCGTCATCCAAGGAATATTTGTGTCATTTTTATAATTTCAATTTCAATTTTATCAACTCTTAAATTTATTTATTTTTGGTTATAATCTCATAAAGATTTTCAAAATTATATAAAAATAAAGAAGAGGAAAAAGGATGTTACGTCTCTTCACTATCCATTTCATAAATGTGTATTATCCCACCACTTTCCACTTTAAAAAAACGTCCAAGACGCCATAGAATATATTGGTCTAATAACATAATAAATATTAAATTTAATATGCCTTTAAAACCATAATTATTAATTATTATTTATATGTAAACAAAAAACGGCCAAAACTGTGCAAGATTATAGAAGGTCATATTTATTAACCACTAATAACTATATTAATTGATTTCTAATTAGTATTATTATTTTTTATATGATTTATTCTTATTACTATATATAACTTCTTATTGTGTTTCGATTTCTCTTCAAAATATTACTTCGTCTGTGATTCAATTTTTTTGGCAACGGGAACCGTTATTATCGCGCATCACCCAAGGTTTGTAACTACCAGCAGCTGTCCATTCAACGCATGTTTCATTTTTATTTTTATTTTTGTAAATACGTTTTATTGTGACTTTCTCTTTGTCTGCTTTTCTATTACAACTTTGTTTGAATACGAAGTACAATGTCTTATTTAGTTTCTAGGTCTATTTGGCTTGGCTGTTGGATTTCGTGTGAAGGAGTTACGACTTTCTACCAATCATGCCACAGAGCTTATTGTCGGGTCAACATACAAACAACTATTTCTCGAAACTCCCGGTGAGGTTAGTGTCAGAACTCTTTCATTGCCATTTTTAATTCGTGTTTTATTCTTAAATGATAGATTTTTTTAGACTGTACGATGTTTTTCCCTCAAAGTATGAGTATGCAAACCCATAAAGAAATGTGGCGTCACGATGAGGGAGGTCGGAGCGGCGGAATGGAGAGTTGTGACAGCGGTGGGGGTGCATCATGATAGGCGTTGGAGTATTACCAGAGACGGCGACGATGTCGGAGGAGGAGGCGGGCGTGAAGCGGTGAGGTCCGAGATGGGTGAGCTCATGCATATCATAGCCCGATTCGAGGGAGTTGTTCGATCACGTGATTCGAGGGAGTTGTTTGATCAAGTAAGTGATCAAAGTTCTGAGATCGGATCTCGAAGATAGATTTTTAGTCATTCATGTAGATAGTTAATTGTGCTAAATTTTGGATGATCTTAAAAATAAAAAACATAATCAAACTTTAACTCCTATTATTTGGTGCCTTGTAAAACAATAGCGTTTCGAACTCACCGAATAACATATGGTTATGATTTAATGTAAATGTTATAAAATCAAATAATCTATAGACGACAAATAATTTTAGAGAGCGTCATGAAAGAAAATTTTGAGAGGAAACCCAAAACATCAGAAAAGATTAAGAACAAACAAATTTTACTCAAACCCAAAAAAATCCCATCTATTAAATAAATCCAACAAAATCAAAACCATTTAAAAATGGGTCCCAACCTACAAAACTCTTAACATTCGATTTTCAAAATTGACATCGCTAACAGCGAATTCACTGCCTGCAAGTAAATCTATCACTACATGAGAAATTTCAGACCTGACAGTGTCTGAAAATTTTACATCTGTTGTGTTTTTAAATAAAATTTGAATATAAAGTACATTGCAGCAAAAAAAAAGGAAGAGAATTCAGATTTTCTTTTTGGGTTTGATGGGTTTCTTCTTGTTCTTGTTCTGTTTCTTGTACTCTTGATAAAGGAGGAGTGAAGATTCTGTTCTTTGCAACTCTCTTCTAAGCCTCTCCTTCTCCTTTATTCCCCTGACAACGGCGAAATGCTCCTTCAGTTTGTTGCTTAGTTCGTCCATGTCGATTTCTGCAACAACATTCTCAGACTCGACAGCGTAACTCTCTCTTCTCCTTTTGCTGTTCAATCTCCTCGGTGGTGACGGTTCGCTCTTAGCCTCGTTCTCCAGTGAGAATTCAGCAAACGCCTGTTGCGGGGACATCAAGGACAGGAACACTTGGTTCTGGGAAGCGTTGTTGTTCATCGTCGAGATTGTGGTGGCCATTGTCGAAACCGTCGGATGATAATACTTTGTCAAGAGATTGAGCTCCCACAGCACCGTCGCAAGGGCCCCGCTTAAGTTCGGATCCGTCGCATAGGGTTGGTATTTCTGCACATCAAATTATGATACCCTAGTCTCTTAGATACGAGTTCACGTACCCTAATTTTTTCAAATACTCAACCAGTCCAGATTTTGAACTTACAGAGATAGAACCGGAAACAGAGCCACCTCCAGCATCGTTTTCCAACAGGTTTCTGCATTTGACGTTCTTTAGGAGAAGCAGTTTCACGGTGACCAGAGCTACAATAGACGAGCGAGGACAAAGTGAGACATTGGAATAAATTCGAGATAAGACAGAAGAACGATACCGGGGCATACCTGACATGGACTCGGCACAGCCAAAGCACAGCGAGAATGTGGCCAGACGTTTTACAAAAGCAGCTGCCTTCGCCATGTCCTGGTGCCTTTCGTCGCACAACATTATCTTCAGAGCTTCTGCTAACACTTCACCTTGATCTCTGTCACAGTAATCGCCATAGAGTTTACATTCAGAACACAAGTTAATGCTATTACAGATGGATTTCATGTTAGTAGCAAAGTTTCAGTACATGACCTGCTTGATATGTTGTGTTATGGATGCTGTGTTATGGTATTAGGTTTTGCATTATCGAATCAACCGAATTCATTAAGTTATGTGTGTATGCAGTAGTAGTGAGGGAGAAAGCTGTCTAGTTCTACAAACCTCCCAGGCCTGTACTCGAGAATGATGTTGTAAAGCTGGATGAAGAAGTCTTGCAAGTCGACATTCAAGGCGTTGAGATTATTCCTCATCACTTTAAAAGCGACAACACAACACCTTAAGCGTTCAGACACGCTCAATGATCTCGATTCTTTCTGCTTCGAGTTTCCGAGGACGCTGTTACTGGCAGATGCAATCCTCTTGAGGTAAGTCATAAGATCTCCCATGTAGTCCAAGTCCAGTAGGTGCGAGAATTTTCCCAATCCGTCCAAGCATGGAGCAAGCAAAGGGTGTGGACCAAAGGACCCAGAAGTCAAAGTTGCATTTGCTTCTTCGCTGCAACAAGTCGGAAGAATCACGCATTCATTGCCAACAAAAAAGCAAAAAAAATAGTTTAGTTTTAGATTTGGAAATGAAGCTCGGTCTACAGCAGGGTACAGTCACGACTGTACCTTCCAACAGTTGACTGCATCGTATGTCTCAGAATACGAAAATAAGTCTCGAAAACAGCAGCAAGTGTCTCTGTTTGCATTTTTCTCCGCTCCATAGGGTCCAGGGCAACGGTAGCCGCCTTGTAATCAGCAGCGACCTGCCAAATTCATTTCCATACATCTGTATGCTTATACACACACACACATTTATCAACCACGAGACATATTAAACTTGGAAAGAATTTGTTACCTCCTGTCTCATCTTGGACATCATTTCTCGCTTGGCTTTCTTTCTCTCATTTTCCTGCACTTGATTCGGCTCTTCATGATTCTTTCTTTTTTTGTTTTTCCTATTTTTTGTCCTATCTTCCTCCTCTTTTGCATCAGACTTCCTTAGATCTTCATCAAATTGCAAGGACAAAAGCACCTGGACAGACAAAACGGAAACCAATAAATAAGCATATAGATGCCTAACAGGTACAAGAGACAACTCAAAACAAAGCCAGATTATTCTCAGCTTCAAGTGGAGAATGTGTCTTATATCACCCTGCACCTTGTTACGAACATATAAGGAATGATTATATTAGCTTGGTTGGCATCCTAAATTTCCATCTGCATCCCTAACACCTTTTAAGCAAAAAAATAAAGCATAAATGTTTAGTTACTAGGTTCTCGAGAAAGATACCTCGATAGAATCAGGGTGAAGTTGGCAATCGTTAGCTTTAACATGATCAGCAATCAAGCGCACGGCTCGTACAGTCACCTCACCACCATGCTTCCCTTCATTGGAGAAGAGGGACTTAATGGTAGAACAACAAAGTCTCCTGCTAACAAGAAGGCACAGCATGCAAATGTTCATCTTAAGTGTAGAAGAGAAGTTTCCCAAAAGTAGATCACAGTAGAAGCAAAATGGAGTAAAAAATTTAAAATTTACAGAACATGGCAAATCACAAATCACTTTTGAGACAGTATCATACAAAAATTTTCATTTTTATTAAATTCCAAGAATCAGCCATGATAAATCGCAAGAAAATAACCCTATAACTTTGAGAAGGACTGAAAATGCCACGACCTTACAACTTCATCCGGGGAGCTAATGTTTCTGACAACAGCAACTAAGAGATTGTCCCGAAAGTTGAAGTGAGGAACTGCGTCCAGCAAAGTACAAATGCAGCGCATGACAACCTGGTTATATACAGATTGCTTTTCTAATGCTATCAGCTTCTGTAGGTAGGCCTGATGAACAAGATATCAACAAAAGAAAAGTATTATGACAATTCTTTATTGGAGTAGTACATACAAAAAACATACACCAAAACCTATCCTAAACTGTACTTTCATCCGTCCTCTGAAAGTTCCCAAACATATAATGCAAAAGCTAGGAAATTGAGGTGGCATACCTTGTATGCTTTCAAAAGAGTTGATTCATAGAATCGCATTTTCTTCACTTCCTTTGAGACTTTCATCTCTAGCTCCTTTTCAGTAGGAAGTCTAATCCGGTAGCTATCATCACAAACAAAATAAATTGTCAAAGTCCAGATATGAAGGAAACTGAAGGGAGATTAGACACAAATGAAATGAAACAAAAGAGCCGATGAAAAACTAAACTTACCCAGGAATAATATCTTTAAATACAGCCAACAGCGACAACAAGCCAAGTTTGACTATTTTACTATTTTCATCTTTCGAGGTCTCTAGCATTTCCTTCAGAGATTTTATATTGGTCTCAGGATCTGAGAGAAGTGCCATTCCTATCTCCGCAAGTTTGATTCTTTTATTTTCGAGAACCTCCTCGGCGGTTAGATCTTCTTTAACTTCTGCCTGGTTGAAGAACCGAATTATATAACAGGTCAAAAGTTAGGGAAGAAGCATCAATACTATTAGACAGAGTCAAAAGGGAATTAAGACAAGGAAAACCCATTGAAAGATTAACCTTGTTCTTTTTACAGGTTTGAAACTTTACAACAAAAATGTTAAGGTAACACCTTCTATCCCCTCAAAAAATTATGCAAGCAGACATGCAACGCAATCAGAATGCATAAAACGACGTAATTGATACTAATCAAAATGCATGTGAGAGAAAGCACATTGAATTTTTTGGCAACATAACAATAGAAGGAAAAAACAGAGAAACTCCAAGCAGACATTACCAGAACAGCTGCCTGGGGAGTTTCTTCCACGGCTTCGGCTTCTTCAGCTAAATCTTTCCCATGTTTCTTTGCCTCCTTCTTGCTCTTTTTCAGCTTTGCCCTCCTTTCAGCTTTGTTCAGTTTGATTAAACTTACGTCTTCATCACCATCTTTTTCTGCATTGTCTTTGTCTTTACCATCGCCATCTTCAGACGCCTTCGATGTCTTTGACACTGAATTACATAAAAACATGAGAAAGATACACGCTACGAAAAAGGTTTCCAAACATATTACAAAATATGTGACTGTAATTACATGTCCGGTAGTAGAGTTTTCCGTCTAAACTCTTGACAGGAAGCGCATCAACAGGATCGACTTGGATCTCATTTTTCCCTTTCTCTTTCTGCTGTGCCTTCTTCTGTAATCGTTTCTCATATAAAGCCTCTAATGTATCTTCTTTAACATCAGCCACACGTGTTACATGCCTGGCAACAGCATTGAAAAGTTAGACAGCTACAAGAGCAATATATCAGTATACACATGAAAAAGGTTCTAGCCCAGTTACAGAACTGCAGTGACATAACTCCCAATGACAACACTAAACTATCGCGAAATCATAAACTCAACCTATAAGAGCCAAAATACTATTTTGCAGTGACATCATTCCCAATGACAACACTAAACTATCGCAAAATCGATCATCATGTCCAGTTACAGAACTGCGATCAATTCCAGAACCATAACAAACAAAATCGAATTCAAACCAAAGGAAACGACTTGACAACAACTAAAAAACTCGCTCAAAGCGCGAGCTATCTACGCAACAACGAGACAAAAAAACATCAAAAGCAAACGCACTTGGTAATTGATTCGGTGTCCAAACGAGAGACGAATCCGGCGTAGTCGGTGTTCTCCTCGAGGAACTGCAAATCCTCGTCCGACACCTCAATCTCATCTTCCAACAGCTCCGGAGGAAGCTCAGGCGGAAGAATTATCTTCTGCTTCTTCTCCCTGGTTTTCCCCATTGTCGGAGGAAGCTCAGCCGCCACCTAGCACGAGTAATTTATCAGAACAGCTAATGACCGAGAGTCGAGCTTGATTGTCGACAGAGGGAAAAGAAAGAAGAAACCCTATTTTTTTCGGTTTATTCGGATAACCGAAACTGATCGGTTATTTATCCGAACCAACCTGATCGGTTATGAGATTGCAGTAACCGATCGGTTGTTTTTAACATAACCGAACCGAACCGAAAATCGATTATTTGGTTCGGTTATAACCAAACCCGACCCGAACGTTCATGCCTATTATTTGGTAATAGAGAGAAAAATTTTCAAAAAAAATCCCAATTTATCAAAATACGCTCATAAAAAAAATTCAATGAAAAAATTGTCATATATATTTCTCAATTTCTAAATTGCTTCCAAATTAATACCCCACAAACAAACGGCATTTGATTTACCGTGTGTGTAATTTTTATTTATGCTACGTAATAATGCCATGTAAAAAATGACAAGTCAGCAAGTCGAATTAGACGAAATTGATTTATATATACCGAGTTTTCAATTGAAATCGGTTAACATAAATCAAAAAATAAAAAAAAACTCTAATTTTTAAAAGATGGTGATAAGATGAAGCAGAAAAAGATGGGGATGAAGACATAAGTTTAATAACCAAACTGAAACATGGAAAAGATTTAGCTGACGAAGCCGAAGCTATTATCACATGACTTATCTTATCTTATCTTAGGTAAAAAAACTCATTTATTATTATTATTACTATTATTATTATTATTATTATTATTATTATTATTATTATTATTATTATTCTTTGGCGTTGCTTTTAAAGGAAAAAAATGGAAGACTATGCTCCAACATAAATTAATGAAGAGGTTGTCCCATTGATTTTTTTTTTATAGAAAAAATCATAAAAAAAAACATTTAAAATTTCAAAATATTGTGAGATCATTAATTAGTATTTAAGAGGGGTCACGATCCAATTTATTGGATTGGTTTCCATTAGCTTTACCTTTTTTGAAGGAAAACAATATATACACATGTCATTATTATTCCATGGAAATATCGAATCCAAATTTATATTTTTGTATTTTTTTTTCATTGTGAATTTTTGGAACTAATGAAATGCAATAAAATATTTTTTACTATAATTTTAATTAATAATTAGATTATCTGTATTTCCGTTCTGACTACTTTTTCACAATTTAAATGTCCGTGTATATACCGAAATTCCAAATATAATATGCTTAAGACATAAACTAATAATTTACGCACAAAACACACACACGCACACAACTAATATATGGGATATATGTGAATTGTAAGAATATGAAAATATTTTGGAAAATTACTTTTATATAATTTAGCAAACAACCAAATTATCTGAATAAACATAGAAAAAATTGTAGACATTCGAGAAACCTATAAAATTTTAATTCTATTGAAACAACGAAATACCTTCTTTATATCTTGCTTACCACCCGCCGGTTGGTACATTGTTTTTTTTTCTTTAAGGTTAAATTGTGGCGTTATTTATTTACTTATTTTATTTATTTATTATTTCGGGTAACATTTTATACACGATAGAAAAACAAACAAAATGTAATATTGTTTGTTTTTATTATTAATAATAAAAAAGTAAAAATCTCATCGTAGCAGCTGTGACTGTGATTACTGACATTAAGCAAAACTTGTAACGGCACTCACTCGAAGATAAAGACTAATGCCAAACCATACGATACCATGTATCTATTACATGATGATGATGATGATGATGATGATGGGGGCAACTACAAACCATGTGATACTATAATATGGTCCTAAGTCATCGTTATATAATTTATCATACCATAAATATACACATATATATATAACGTGTGTGTGTGTGTGTGATTGCTTATTTATTTCAATTTGGACCTCAATGTGTAATTGACATCTCAACAAACGCTGCAAATTTGAATTCAGTAGCACAATTCAAAAAGGGAAACCCGTGGCCCGACTTATCTCGTATATATAATTAATTACTTTTTCTAATTTTGATAAATTTCGAATGATTAAACTAATTAAAGCTCCTTCACCAAATGATTTGCCAAGTTACACACTTTTAAAGCGGTGCATAAACACGCACAAACACTTGAAAACTGTAACACAAATTTATACACACATAAAAACATGTTTATTTCTATTTGAATATATAAAATATACAATCAAATATCTTTTAAAAAATTAACCAAAATCTAACAAAAACTTACAAAGAAATATGCCCTTTCCGAAGTTACAGAACCCAAATCATAAATTAAATAAACAAAAGGTAAATATACGCATAATCCCATCTATAGTGTCATATATGGTCTTTTATAATATCCTATACTAATAATGCGTGATTAAAAATAAAAATACTGATCTTATTTAGTTAAAGTCATTTGTGACTTAAGGTCCATGTATTTATAGATAGAAAAGGTAGGTCAACAAAAATTTTAATGACCCCATCATACATATTAAATTCTCATTTATTTGTCAGTTAGGAGCATTAATATTACTACTGCTATAATAAATGATCCATTATTACGCCATTAAAACCCCTAAAAATTAAAATGATTTACTATGGAAATTTCCCTTTAAAAAAATTATATATATATATATTCATCCCAAAGTTTGTAGAAAAAAAAATGGAAGTTGTTCTTAAGCAAATTACTGCTGTTTTATTTATTTAGTTAGTTTACATTACTCTATTGAACATTATAACATAACATATGTTAATATATATATATATATATATATATCCATATAGAAGGCAATTTGATTCAAGCATGTGAAACTTGACTTTTTCCTTCCCAGTAATCAATTGGTCAAAGATATTAATAAAAATGGGTCATGTCTTTCAATAGATTTATAACCATTATTATTCACATGGGATTGAAAACCATAAAAAGCCTGAGTAGGAAAATGATTATTATTTTTGTTTAAACATATATAAAAATAAAATCATATTTTTAAATGTGTGGGACTCGTGTAATTGTATAAAAATAACTGTAGATACAAAATAATTATCCATGGATATTTTTATCAATTCTCTCAAGAAAAAAATATATTTTTTTTTAATGCGTAGGTCAGGTAATTATATAAAATACGTGTAGATACTAGATACCAAATAACAATCCATAGATATTTCAAATATTTATTCAAACGTATAACAACAACAAATTTAGCCGTATCTAGTGAATATATGTTCTAATAAAATTTGAATCTGAACTGAATCAGAATTTACAACAAAAATTATATATATAATATTTTAATATTGGATAACCAATCAAATATAACTAATAAAACTCAACCGAAACCTCTACCCCTAAAAATTTACTACATGAACTTTGATTTAAAATACCACCAACACCCTTCCAACTAACCCTAGGAAAATTCAGATTCTCTAATATGGCAAATACGATTAGGAATTTTTTAAATGCGCAAGTGTAGTAAAACTGAAAATAAATGAAACTATAATTATCAGAGAACCAAGTACGAAGAAACATTCGGTTTATCTATGAATTTACAAAAATACCCTTCTCCAACATCTATCCTCTTTTTTTCTTTTCCTTTCCCCAAACAAACCCCTGATTTATCTATCATTTACATAATTAGACCCAACAAAATAATATATTTTCAATTGGCCCCATAGTTATCATATCGACATGTTGAGATCGATCTTAGGCTTCTTTATTGCAGGCAAAGGAACGAAGGAATTACACCTTGGGCATTTCGGATTATTCTTCATCACCAACACGTACGACAAGCAGCCTGGGCATCCCGCCGCTACCGGAGACGCAGACGCGGGGCCTTTGTCGCTCTCGTTAGACGGCGATTGGCGTTTCTTCTCCGCCCTCTCGAGCGCCGATTTCACCTTGTCGAGTGTGCAAACGCTCTCAAAACTCGAGTTCGCTGTCGACACCGACAGAGACGACGATAACGGCGACGATGCCACAAGCTTCAGTTCCAGGCTCGTGTCGTCGAAGAGGTTTAGCAAGGGCTGTTTCGACGGAGATTTCCCGGAAAATGTCGGAGGGAAATTCAGATCCTGAAACCTCGTCGCGACTATTTGATTCGACCAGTCTGTGTGAGTCAACGATGATGATGATGATGATGATGACGATGAGCTCATTGGCGTTTCTTCTCCGCCCTCTCGAGCGCCGATTTCACCTTGTCGAGTGTGCAAACGCTCTCAAAACTCGAGTTCGCTGTCGACACCGACAGAGACGACGATAACGGCGACGATGCCACAAGCTTCAGTTCCAGGCTCGTGTCGTCGAAGAGGTTTAGCAAGGGCTGTTTCGACGGAGATTTCCCGGAAAATGTCGGAGGGAAATTCAGATCCTGAAACCTCGTCGCGACTATTTGATTCGACCAGTCTGTGTGAGTCAACGATGATGATGATGATGATGATGACGATGAGCTCGTGGAATCCCAACGTGTTAGATACACTTTCCCTGACTGTCGAATTCGAAAACAATAATCGAATTAAAGAAAAAACAGCAGCAATTAGTTAACAAAAAAAAAAAAAAACCGGCAGCAATTGTGCGTGGAGAAGAAGAAATCAACAATTTCCTTCAAAAAATTCATTCCATGAACCGATGATTATCCCAAACTGCAATAAAATCATTTCAAACACGATATCTTTTCACCAGAATCTGAAATCGCGAAATTGTCGAGGCAATTGCCGAATTCCGAGAAAATTGCGCTATAAATCAAACAAAGCCGTAAGAAGAGAGAAAAATTACGGAGTGAACGAACCTTCAAGTCTAGGCGCTTTTCCCAGCCGTTGGGGACTTGCAGGTCAAGGTCGAGCTCCATTGACTGATCTCCAGCGCCGGCACAAGCGCCGCCGAGGAGATCACGAGTCATGAGACCGACCGTCGTTTTCGCTCCGGCGGAATCGTTCACCACCGTCCGGTCGTCCTTGTATCCTCTCAGAATCTGAACGAGAGAGCTGACGTCAGCAGCCATACGAGAGAGAGAGAGTCAGAGAGATACGATGGCCGTTTGGCTCGGCGTTAAATAGAGGAAGTCTTCAACATAAGAACCTAATGTGAAGAGTTGGGGAAATTAATGCGGCCCGTTATGTTATTAATTATTTAATTTAAAATTTTGACATATCGATTTATATATATTAATTTCAAAGACTATTTATGAGGATTTTATTTCCATTTATTGGTGTACTATTATTGACTATTATTAAGGATTTCATGAGTGTTTGATTTTGATTTATAACTATCGATTCACACGATTTTTCTCTTTTTTCAAAAATAAAAAATCATTGTATAAATTGATACAGTATAAAAAATATATAGAAGGATTAATGATATAAATAAATTCAAAGATCACACATCACATATATAATTAGCATGAAATCATAAATTACATGATTCCCAGGAGATAACTAAAGTAGACATAGGATATCTCAATCTCATTGCTTAGGTTGTGTGGACAACATAATTAAGAATCATCTTTAAAATATCATATTCATATAATTTACATGCAAACAATTTATAAATTCATTAGGACATTTAAGCAACCATTTTTCCATTAATGTGGCTTTTTAGTACATACCGTATTGCATACAAGCAATTTCCTTGTAAAATTATCAGATAGCTATATTTTTGTATTTTACTGAAAATTAAATAAATAAAAATTCCGGTGATATACTTTGATTTAATCTTTTCCGTTTTGTAAAAAAATAGTTACTCTAGTTTGTACATTAATTTTGGGTTCGATTTTTAAATTTTTTGTATTCGATTTTATGTAAATTTAGTGTTATTGGAATTTTAAATTTAAATGCACAGTAATAAAATTAAAAGAATAAATAATAGGAAAGCAATAAATGAGAGAGAAAGAGAGGAATTCAAGGAGGCGAAGGCGAAGTTAACGTGCATAAAATGAGAGGGGCATTAAATTTGCTTTGCAATACAAGTACTCGCACATTTGTCTTCTCTATAGATTAGTTAATTACATTTATACCCCTATCCCTTTTTTTAAATCCCGTGATTTAATTAATTTCAATAGGCTAGTTAATTACGCTCATTAAATATTATATTAAATGTTATTTAATGCTGTATCGTGTTCTATGTATAATGGTTGTACCAAAGTATTTAATGAAGTAGGTATTGGAGGAAGTGTGGTATAATATTATATATATTGACTTCTAAAAAAAATCATATCTTATTTTTCCCTAATAAATATAAATATCTAGATTGTTAAATTTATTTGTTTATATGGTAATTTAAAAAGGGTTTTTATCTATAATCATTTGTAAAATATATATTTTTTTTTCATTTTTAAATTAAATAGTTTTATGACGAATTTAAGAAAAAAGTTTGTAGTGTTCAATTATCCCTACCATTAATGATTTGGATTCTACTATAACTTTTGTCTTGGTTATTGAATAGTGCACTAATCCATCTTGAATTATTATTAATTAGTATCTTATGAATTTATTGAAAATTAAACATGAATAACAAGCTTCAATCATCATATACTTTTTTTAATAACTTTTTAGCTTTTAATTTCATAAATTTCTTGGATACCATTCTAACGGATACATAGTTTTATATATTAAATTATATAAATATCAATAAATAAAATTTCGAGTTATTTCTAGGTCAAGGTTCCCAGTATCATTACATTCTATATATATATATGTTAAAGTTTTGAAACGAAATAGTAATTACGACTTAAATATGTGATGGGTGTATTGATGATAAAATCACCGAATTAATCATCCTTTAATTTTCATCTACATTGTAGCTAATTATCGAAATATCTGCTTTTTTATTATTTCATTCATTTTTTATATTTTATTTGTACTAACAAACGTTTTTGGCATGTTTCCTAACCATTTTTTATTTTGTTATTTTGGCTATATCGATGACGTAATAAATTATTGATGCGCAATAGAATCCAATATGGAATTAGAAGCTGACATTTGGACACGTGTCATGTGTGTGTGAGGCGCGAGGACACGTCAGCGTCGGTTTGGTTCGTCTTGGGTAGAAAACGGGTGAACCAACTCTTAGACTCCTTCAACTAATAATACATATAATTCTATTGAATACATATATATATATATATTCTGTTTCAGTACATTTTCTTTAATGTTTGAGTATTCGATGATATTATTTTCTACATCTTCTCCGTAGCATTGCTATTTATTTTTTGATGGAATGGTTATCACTTCTCAATAGCAATACAAAATATATTTTATTTATAGTCCTATTAAAATAAAAATAAAATAATTGCGGTTTATTAATGGAAAAAACAAAATAAAATAATTTTGTAAAATTAATGTCGTGGGATTTTAACCAAAATAATAATAATAATGTCGTGGGGGTATTAATTAAATAGCTTTCTAGGAAATAGGTAAGGTGTAAACATTTAAGAACAGTACCAAATAGGTTTGAATAATATGTTGAAAATGTATAATATATATGTATATATTTAATGTATAATATGTATAATTTAGGGTGACGAAGTGATGATGCTCACGGGCGATGTTTTTACAACATCAAACATTAATATAGCTTTTAATTTTTACAATTTTAAAATACGTATGCAGACACGTACTTTTATTTTTTATTTTTTTTTGTGGGAATTTAATTAACGTCTTTAAAATAGTTCGCACAAGAATAATATTTTTAATGTTATCAAATTTGAGTCATCAACTAAAAGAAAATGCAAAGTATATTCTACATTCAAATCCAAACTTGGAGATGGATCAAAGTTTTAATGAATTTTCGAATTATAAAAAAATATTAAAAAAATATTTTTAATGCTAGAGATTCATGTTTTTATTAGGAATGGACGATCGGACGTATTCGATTATTTTGGATTCGGGTATTTCGGATTTGAAATATTTATTCCAATCGGGTATATTTTTTAATAGGTTCGATTCAGATTCAGATCGGATCGGATCGGGTTCGGTTCGGATTATCCAAACAAAAAAACGATAAAAAAATTTAAACAATTATCTTATAAAAACAACAAAAACAACATTAAAATACATGCATATTTTGTTTTTTTATATACCATGATTATAAAATAATATCATTATACTATTTTTTAATTAGATTTAGAATATATTACATATTAATTGATGATATATGGATGGATAAACAGATATATTCGGTTACGATTAATTCGAGTTCAGTTTATTCGATTTACGGTTATTTTAAATTTGGGTATTTCATATCCAATCGGGTATATTATTTTAATCGATTCGATTCGATCCGAATATATATCGGTCAGATTCGGTTCGGTTATTTCGGGTTCAGATATTTTACCCACCTCTAGTTTTTACATATGTTCTATATTGTATTGAAAAACATCGTATTTTTAAATAATTTTTGTTTTTAATATATAGATTTAGCCTACAAATTGTTTTTGAATCTCGATTAATTTTGCTCAGATATCTAAAACCGCCGTTTAAATTAAATATTGATTTTTATAGCTGACAAAACAAAATTTAAAAAAAAAATTGTATTTTTATTAACTCTTGGACAACAAAACCTCATATTACGTCACAAAATATTTATAACTATTATTATCAAATATATGAACACTATATATCGGTTTGTATAAAGTTAACAACAAGAGAGGAGCGACACACATATACCTTTTTTGGAACGAAAGTCTAAACTAAGATTGAAAAAAAAATCATTAAATGTTTAAGAAATAATATTTGACTGTCTAAACCTTGACTTCAACATTAGACATACATACACGTACGCGTACACATATATACGCACATACACACATACGTATATGTGATATTTAAGGTTGGTCCTAATAAGACGGCGAGCCCTAAACGTAAATGCATGGACCATGAAATGGAATTTAATATGATATATTTATTAATGGCAGTGAGACTGGTCTTGGGATTTGAATGCGTTTTAATGTGAGATTGGTGGGGTTATTAATAATAGAATTAAATGCCCATTATTATTATTATTATTATTTTAAAAGGCATATAATATAACCTTAAATTCCAAGGCCATATGGAAGGTACATTCCATTGTATGAAGTTATGTCTTCTCCAACTCCTACCTATTCCATTATTACTATTTTTCGCATGGAGCGTTATTCAATGTTCTTCACCTATTTTTTCTTTTTAACCCTTGGTGTTTATTGCATTTTTTTTAATTGTTCCATAAATTTCTGAACTATATTAATTATCTATATCGAATATTAATCTTAATTAAAAGGACCACTACATCAAAATAGTTTAAATTGAGCATGATCTTATTTTTATAACAATACACAATATTGTAAAAAAGGTAATATAACATGAGGAACATACTTTATATGGTATTTTATTCAACAATAAGTGGTATGTGTATATACTACTATATAGTATGTGTTGTTTTAGCAATTTTCCACTATCATTACTGCAGAGTTTGGTATGAAATTGAGGCCCATAATAGTAAAGCCCATTTATTTTCTATTAGGACCGTAATAGTTAAACTCGGCCCAATTCTACTATTACGTTGGAAAAATAATCCTTTTGCAAATAAAATATATTAGTAACGTTTCCAAAGATTTGAAATCCTAAATTTCTGATTCTGCATCTGAGTTCATAAGTTTGTACAAATGAAAACATCCCTGTGTGCCCTTCAACGGGTTATAAAATACAATTTTTTTAGTTTTTAAAAATTATATCATTCAATTTTTATATCAAATTTAGTTTATATTTTCATTCAAAATTTTATTTATTTAGTAAATCAATTATTTTTAAAAATAACATCTATTTGCTTTTATGTATCGAACTGAATTTGACTACAAATATATCTCTTTCCATTCAATTTTAAATAACTTAACTAAATTTTCGATCTACATCCATTTTCATTAGGATTTTTTTTTCCTTTTTTTTGGGTAAATTTATAAATTTTTTTATGATGGTTAATACAAATATAATAAAATAAAGTACACTATTATTAAAAAAAAAACCTTTTTCTCCTTTACATATCCTCGCGCATGAGCCGTTCGTCATGGTGATGTAATT